TAATGCAAAGCCTCAGGCCCTACCTCACACATACTGAACCAAACACTCTGCTACAGTAGCAGAAGGGGACTGTGGCCAAAGTTCTGGAACCCATGAATTGGGCCAAGCCTGAGAGCAGGCAGGTTGACATTTATTAGGTACGTAAGTGCCAGGCACATGGCTGATTGGCTTCATTTAGGCTGTTTTACGTGATTGTGGTAGGCAGAAAATGGCATCCCCAAAAGGTCCAAATCCTAATCCCCAGAACCATGAAGGAGTTTCCTTACATGGTAAAAGCGTCTTTGCAGATGTGATGAAATTAAAGATCTTGAGATGGGGATATTATCTTGGGTTCTCTAAGCGGGGCCAACAAATCTCAAGGTCTTTATCAAGGCAAGAGGTAGGGAGGAGAGTCAGTTAGAAAATGTGTGGATGCTTACACTGGTGGCCTTGAAGATGGAAGTAGGGGCCACGAGCCCAAGAATGCAGACAGCCTCTAGAAGTTGGGAAAAGCAAGGAAATGAATTCTCCCCTAGAGCCTACAGAGAGAGAGCTGCCAACACCTTGGTTTTATCCCAGTGAAAACCATTTTGGACTTCTGACCTCTGGAACTGTAAGATAATAAATATGTTATTTTAATCTACTATGTGTGGTAATGTATTCATTTGTTACATCAGCAACAGGAAACGGATACACTGTATCTGATTGGTTAATGTGTTTTGATCCAGGCGAATCTCCAACTTCAAGCTACAAAAGCCAATGCCCACAGCAGCCTTGTTCCTGGCTACCGGACCTCTCCACTGCTGAATCAGTAAGCTATTAATAGTTCAAAGAACCACCATCCACGGAGGCCAACTTGGCCTTCACCAACAAGGAAGCTAACAGGTAATAGCAGTTTCAATGACATGGAGTCTAGACCAGTGGGTCTCGAGCTGCGATGTGCATACAAATCACCTGCAAAGCTGATTAGAATGTAGGTTCCAAGGCCGGGCACGGTGGCTCATGCTTGTAATCCCAGCACTTTGGAAGGCTGAGGTGGGTCGATCACGAGGTCAGGAGATCAAGACCATCCTGGCTAACATGGTGAAACCCCATCTGTACTAAAAGTACAAAAAAATTAGCCGCATGGTGGCAGGCACCTGTAGTCCCAGCTACTTGGGAGGCTGAGGCAGGAGAATGGTGTGAACCCGAGAGGCGGAGGTTGCAGTGAGCAGAGATTGTGCCACTGCACTCCAGCCTGGGCGACAGAGCGACACTCCATCTCAAAAAAAAAAAAAAAAAAAAAAAAAGAATATGGGTTGCGCTTCAGAAGGCCTGACATTCTTCATTTCTAACAAGCTCCCACCAGGTGATGTCATTGGCTGGCAGGGGCACGCGCATAGCAAGCCATGGATGCCTACTCATCAGAGACCACCACCTCCTCAGAGTCCCTCTGCATTTAGGGGTCTAGGTGAGGGCTTTCAAAATCGGATGGGTCATCAGCCTCACCTGGGTGCCTGTCAACAAAGGGTGGACTCCACCTCGGGCCCACAGAACCAGGAATCTGCATGTCTACTGGGTGCCTCCATTCTGAGGCCAATGGTTTATGCACAGGTGTTTGAACACAACTGCTTGAAATCATAAAAGCAAGCAACTCCTCAGCAGATCACCTGCACCTCCATTCTGATTTTGTACAGAATCAGTGCCATTATCTGAAATATGAAATGCTTATCCCCTGACCACTCCTCTTTCTTCCTCATCTTAGTAGGACCTCAAGCACTTCAAAGCCTGAGTGAAACCCCCAAAAGAAGGTGGCTTGGCTGCAGAGAGAGCTCCACAGAGACCCCTGAGAGGCTGAGCAGAGGGCCACTGAGCTCCCACTGCAGGGTCAGGGCCAGCCAAACTCTATGACTTCCTTGCTTTCTGGATCCCAAGCTCTCACCTCTGGCCAGACATTATTAGTGTGAATTCCACCTCCTTTTGCTGGGGAGGGCAAAGTGCAGCAGCCTGCAGGTACAATTTACTGCAGCATGGGCTCATAAAACACTGCAAATGAAACTTCAAAGGCCATGGGCAGCCACTGCCCGTGGGTCCACCTTTCTCCAAACCCTCGTTAGCCGCCCACCCTTGGAGTTCTCCTCCAGGGTGATCTCAGCTCCCTTCCCTACCCCACCCTCCATTAAGGCTCCCATTAAGTAAGCTGGTTTTATGACATCAGCGGTGATTAAACTGACCTGATTTCTCCCAGGCTGGCAGAGTCAAGAGCCCGGAGTCAATACGGAAACCAATTCCAAGGGCCTCAGCTAAGCCACTCAGAGAAAAAAAGACCTGAGCCTTATTCTGAGAGGGGAAGAAAAAAAAAAAAAAAAAAATGGTGTGCAGCTGCAGCTTATCCCACGTGATACTGAGCAGAATCCCAAAGAAATAGAGTGGGAGAGACCCAGCCATGCCTGCAGCCTGCCCCTCTCTTGGCTTGTGGCTAGGATTAGGGAAATGCTCTGACCTACACATGGATGGACGCCCACTCAACAGAGTTGGTATAACTAGCGCTATTTCCCTTGGGGACAGCGGCAGCCTCCTGCCAGGTCATCTTGTTTGCTGGGCTTACTCTAGGATTTGCCAGCCCCATCCTTCCACCGAGGTCTCCTCGGACCCACCGCACTGCCTCTGGCTTCTTTTTTCATGCTTTGTCCCATACCTGGAGTAGCTTTTTTTTCCTTATTGAATAAACTCCCACTCATCCCTCAAAACTCTGCTCAGGCTTTGATTCTTCCAAAACTCCTTCCTCCCCTCACCCCCAGCCAGAATTACTTTCATGCATATAATTCTGTTTGTTCTGGCCTCAAAGCGTGGTCCCTGGACTGGAAACTTCAGAAGCATCTGGAAATGTGCTAGAAATGCAGGCTCCCAGGCCTCCCCTACCACTCCTTTACAAGCACACAAGGTTAGTGCTTCCGTGGGACACCCATCTCTATAGCATCCTCTGCTTTTCCCCTTTGGCACTGCTCACAACTGTCATTCTTGGATTCTTTAATATCTCTCCCTCCATCCCCCGCCCATAGACTAAGTTCCCCAAGACCCACTTTGTGTTTCTGCTCCTGCATCCTTGGTGACAGCCAGTGCCTGCAACGTTGTAGCGGCACTTCTCCTCTGGGCTCGTCATCATCAGCTCAGGTGCTACTTCATTCTGGCTTGCAAACCTCCAGGTCCTACCCATGGTTTCCTTCCATAAGCGCAGGGAGTCGCAGGCAGCAGGGCTCTGGCAGCCCGACCTGACTTGCCAGAGCTTAAGACCTGACCTGTATGGGTTAATGATGAAAGCGCTGCTGGGGAGTCTCCACGTGGCTATTTTATACATCAGTCTCCATTGCCCAAGTCTCAATGGACGACCCCTGCTTCCTTTTGGTTCCTGGGCACATAGTGAGTGCTTTCATTCCTGACTGTAGGTTTCCTGACATGATCTGGTCAGAATAGGGGAATTCTTCATGCTAGGTGATTCGCTGGACAAAGTAGTGCTTTAGCGACTACTGTGCACCAGGTAGATCCCAGGTGCTAAGGACAGAACTTCAAACAAACAGACAAAACTGCAGCCTCTTGGGGCTTACATTCCACCATATGTCCCTGTATTTGTGTTAAAAGAACAGAGTAATACGTTCCCAGTACGTAACATTTTCCTAGCCTTTAGAAACTGCATTCCCTATGAAAGTGAGCCGTGGGTTGCTCTGGAGATGTGGCCTGTGTCTCTGAAAAGTTGTCAAAGTTTTCCCTAAGGATTCTAGAGTCTATCCTTGAGGTAATACCTCAAGGATTCAGTAGGTCTCTGGTTTCTAGGGTGTGGTATTCACAGTGGTGACAAACATTATTGTAAGAGAATGTTCTACCCTTGAGAATTCATCTGGGGATGGGAAGAAAGCCAAAAAGCAAACTGCTTCGTCCTCTAGTTTAATCTGCCTGTTACACGGTCTCCTAGCAGCCTGTATCTTCTCTTCAAAGCACTTCATTGTTTATACGACTATTAGTTTTATCTCTTCCCTCCCCTTTCCTCTCTCTCCTCTCCTGGTTGCCTTCCCTCCTCTCCTCTCCTCCTCCTCTTCCTCCTCCTCCTCCTCCTCCTTCTCTTTCTTTCTCTTTCTACTTCCTTTCTCCCTCTCTCCTCCTGTCTCTCTTGTTCATGATTATTTCTACCGTGTAGCATATGCTTACACATGCTGGTGTTCTGTAAAATTGGGGAATGAAGGTGGGGAGTGAATCTTGAGATTATCCTTAGACCTGCAACGCTTGTGCATTTGGTATTTTTATTTTAGGGCAGAGGAATTTTTTATTTTATTTGTTTATTTATTTATTTATTTTTTTCAGATGAAGTCTCGTTTTGTCACCCAGGCTGGAGTACAGTGGTGTGATCTTGGCTCACTGCAACTTCCACCTCTCAGGTTCAAGCCGTTCTCCTGCCTCAGCCTCCCAAGTAGCTGGGATTACAGGCATGTGCCACCATGCTTGGCTAATTTTTGTATTTTTAGTAAAGATGGGGTTTCACCAGTTTGACCAGGCTGGTCTCGAACTACTGACCTCACGTGATCCATCTGCCTCAGCCTCCCAAAATGCTGAGATTACAAGCTTGAGCCACCACACCTGGCCAGGCAGAAGAATTTTATTTTTGAGATTTATGACCTAATGCAGCCCTTACCAATATTCTTAACACTCTCCTTTTAAGTTTTTGAGTAAGCCAGTTTCATTACAAGTCATCATTGTCAGCTTCAGGTGTTTGACCCAGAGAAGGACATTTGTATTCCGCTTTGGGCTATGGCTCTACTTAATTAAGTAATCTTAAGTAGATGCTCCTGCCTCACTAGGCCTCCAAGCATCTTCCTTGTAAAAGGAGTTGATTGGTCTGTGTGATTCCTTAGGACTCTCCAGCTCTACAGCCCATCCCCATTCAGCCAGAGGACATGGTGCTTCTTCGAGGTCTCTGCCAGGACATTAGTAGGCAGTGGAAATCTTCCACCAAAATTCAAGGGGAATTTTGAACATCAGAAGATGGAAAATGAGAATCAATCCATCAAATTTATTATTTGTTATTAATTAAGGTTGAAAGAAAAGAGTGAAAGTACCGACCAATATGCATCTGTGATTTCAATCAGCCATGCTGTCGCAGTCTTCTGTTTCTGTGGAAAATTAAGATTTGCCTTTATGTCAGCTGCTGGGTATTTGGGCAGACAATGTTGTAGGAGGAGAAAAGTACAGCTGTTTTGGTCAGTTCCAGGTTTGCATACTGACACCTCTGCTCATTAGTGATCTTCACCCGGCTTCTCTAAGCCTCAGTTTCCTCACCTGTAAAATGGAAAGAATACCCATCTTATTGTGACTATTATTAGATAAATGAAATTGTGTACGTAACATGCTTGGCACATAGAAAGCACTCAAGAAAAGCTAACTTACGACTAGGCGCAGTGGCTCATGCCTGTAATCCCAGCACTTTGGGAGGCCAAGGCAGGTGGATCGCCTGAGGTCATGAGTTTGAGACCAGCCTGGCCAACATGGTGAAACCCTGTCTCTACTAAAAATACAAAAAAATTAGCCGGGCATGGTGGCGTGCGTCTGTAATCCCAGCTACTCGGGAGGCTGAGATAGGAGAATTGCTTGAACCCAGGATGGGGAGGCTGCAGTGAGCCGAGATCATGCCACTGCACTCCAGCCTGGCCAATAGAGCAAGATTCTGTCTCAAAACAAACAAACAGAAAACAAGAAAAAAGAAAAGCTAACTTATTTCTACTGACTTTTCCTAGTTGATTTGTGAAAACAAGGTGACAGGCCAATTTGGAGAAAAATATGGGTAGAAGTTGGTGACCTGGCTTCACTTAGCCAAGTCTTTTATTCACTGACCATATTGTCATCATCTTACCTATGTTCCAGAATTGGTTAATTGTTACAGAATAGTCCCGGAGTTTTGAAGGAAAAAAATGGGAAACTTGCTGCAAAGGCAGCCAGACCTGGCCCCACCCTCCAGCTCCCTGCAGTATTTTAAGTCAGCGTCTCAGATGATGATGATGATGGTCACCATCCGATCACCATTTACCATGTTCCTACATATGCATTGTCTCATTTCATTCTCAGCCATAGCAACTCTGTGGGATGGTGGATTACATGTTGTTATCTGGTGAGGAAATAGAAACTTAAGGAGGTCAGATGACTAGCCCACATTCACACTGCTAATCCGTGGATGGAGAAAGAGTTGAACACAGCTACTGACTCTAGATCCAGAGTCTTTTTGCCACTTCATGTAGTCAGGCATAAAATAATGATTCTGTCTTATTTCTGAATATTTAACTTATATGTAATTTCACTCTCATGTTTTCACTTCCTTACAGAATATCTACTTCTTTCAAGAAGTATTTTAAAGATCAATGCTGTCATATTCATTTATTTTACTATAGATCAAATTCTATGGTAACAAATAAGATTACCAAAAATCCCCAGGTATGTCTACATACGTATATATGTATGTGTGTATGCACATGCATATATATCTTTTTCTTTCAAAAGCTCTATCCAATAGTCCAGAAATACATTCCATTGAAAAGAAAAATAAATGCATTCAATTTAAAATCCCAAATGAACTTGCTCAATTTTGGCGGGGAGGGAGGTTGTGTTGAAATTTAATTTCTTTGCTATTTGGGACTCATGCTACTTCTCAGAAGAGACACAGTTTTCCAGTAGAGATAAATGACATCTTCCAAGAACAATGGAAATAGAAAGGGGATGGGCGTGGGGTGGGGGGCGCCGCGGGAGAAGGGCAGGAAGCACAGATGAACTGAAAAGAGAAGAGTTATAAGCAGGTTGGCTTCCTTTAAAAAGATGGGAGAGGGTCTCCAAAAAATAAATAAAATAAAAAGTTAGGCTACCTATTGGACTATCCTTCAAAGAGTGACTGTGACTTAGTGTAAAAGCAGATTTTAAAAAATATAAATACAGTGAGTCACAAAATTCTCTCACCAAAACCAAGATATGAAAAAAAAAAAAAAAAAAAAAAAAAGAGTAGCTTCTATTTTCTTCAAAACTGCTCTGAGCTTCGTGTAAGCCTCATTCCCTGGGGAATCCAGGAAAACTTAGAATTGCCGAGAAACAGTATTCCGATTTCCTCTGATTTAAAGTCTCCTTTCCATTTAACCATTCAGTCTATTCTACTGGGTATCATCTGGTGGGGTGTAAGAAGTCTCTTGAGATAAATAATGTTTCAGAGCATGCCTTTTTCTTTCGCTTCCCAGGATGGTGTCTATATACCATGGGGGATGAGGAGGACTCTCTCTTCCCTCATACGGTGTCTGGACAGACCAACTCCTTGGACTGGTGACTGCTGAGTGGGCCTGGTTCTGTCTGGCTTCTTGAGAAGCCACATATGCTGACCCTACTGCTGGAGCCCATAGTCCTGATCATTTGTCCTGGCTCACTGTGGCCTCTCTTGCCACTCCCAAGTCTTTGCTGGTCCACTTGTTTCCTCAGAATCTCTGGGTCCTCTCTCAGGGGCATGAGGGCTCCCTCAGTTGTGAGGAACAGGAAAGATGGCCTTGGACTCATCCATTCATTGCCTTCCATGACCTCCACATCATTATTCTTCAATGGTGTTAAACATGTCCTCAGACTAAAGCTTACAACCTCCTTGCATGAGTCCTGGAGAAAGTCTCACCCACTGTCTCCTCCCAGTATCTTTTATCTTCCCCCGAGAGTGGATGTTTCAGAAGCATCCCACCCTCGTCTTGAATTTTCTTCCCTGAGCTGCTGGCTCTGACCTACATTCTTTACCACCATCTCTCCTTTTCCCCCCGTCTTGGCTCATAAGTGAATGGGGTATTTTCACTGCACTGGGAAAGAAACTAGATCAGAGTCTTCTAAGCTTGAATCTGATATGTATTGGGAGTTAAGGGAATTCAGACTGGCCTTCAAGATTACTGTCTTGACCACGAAATGTCTTTTGAAAGTCAAAAACTGCATGTTCTTTTCTTTGAATTCATGCTGATAAACCTGAGACAAATAGATGTCTATGGCAGAACTTTGAGATAAATCAGTATATTAATGAATTTTTTTTAAATTACAAAAAATTAAAATAAAAATAGAAGAATATGTTCTTATTACAAATATTCAACAACACAAACATATATAGTAAAAAGAAAAATTCTGTCTTGCCTTACACCCCATCCTACCATCATACTTTCCCCTTCAGATATAACCACTATTAACAGTTTAGGGTATACCCTTCCAGACCATTTTCTATATGTTTATATACATATGTATGTGAAAACTAAGCAAAGGTATAGTTTTGCTTCAATTTTTAGTGAAGTGACAATGACACATAGTCTTCTTTTACTTAACAATATGTTTTGTAATTCATTCCCTATCAGTAGGTATCAGTCAACTTCACTTTTAAAAACTGATGCGTGGTAATCCATAGTATGGATGGACCATTATTTAGTCAACCATTTTTCATGATGTTACATTTACATTATCTTACAACTTTTGGCTTTTATAAATGGTGACACCCTTGTTTACATCTCCTTATACAGTAGCTCAAGCATTGCAGACATGTATGCTTTATAAGAACCTAATGTGGAAAGTGATGACATTCCGTATCTGTCCTTTGACCACCTGTAAACACGAAAAGCAACGCTGTCAGGAGCCCCATAGCCAGAAGCTGAGCTTCTGCTTTAATTTTGGTCATTATTCTTCATTTTTACCACTCAATCAGCCCCCCTGAAATGGCAGAGTTTTCAATTTAAATTTTTCTTCTTTAAAAAAATTTCTTTTATTTTTTATTTTTATTTTTTAGAGATGGGGTCTTGCTATGTTGCCCAGGATAGTCTTGAACTCCTGAACTCAAGTGATCCTCCTGCCTCAGCCTCCCAAAGTGCTAGGATTACAGGATGAGCCACCGCACCCAGCCATCAACTTATATTTTTCTCAATCAAAAAGTACCACAGTATAGGTAGAATAAGGCAAATTCAATGTGTTAATCAATGTTTATCGGTATGGACCTATTTTTAGTATCATTTCAGAGAATAAAGTTGAAACTCACAGTGCATCATCCTCAAAACTGCAGAGTGGTCTTTTCGTGAGTGGCAGAGTCATGGCAGTGGGTTCTGTCAGTGGTGGTCATGCAGGACACAGTATGCCCAAGTTACCACCATCGTGATGAAGACATGAAATGCTTGCTTCTCTGCACTGTACAGGGCCTCAGTGGAGAAGAAGCTTGTGGCTGCAGGCACAGCGCAGCTCAGGTAACCAGCTGTCTTGACACGGGTTTGTCGCTACCCAGTTTATTGATTCACCACCGTGGAGACTTCATGCCCTCCTTTCTGCTTCCGCTGCCTTTACCGTTTCTGCTAAACTAGATTCTTTCTCTCCTAGGTCACTGGACAGATGGTCCCTTTGGATCATGTGCTCATCCCTGGTCCAGTCAGCTGTGACCAGAGGAGCAAGATCATGTGAGACAAGGCTTGAAACCTAAGGAATTTCAAAGAGGGGACCACGATGGGCATTCAGCGGCGTCTCAGGAGGGGGCAGAGTAACCAGCAGGTGCTTTGCATGCTGGTCTTGTGTGTCTGGAAAGGGCATCCTGCTAAAACATTTGTCATGAAACTTCTCATCAGCATTTCCAGCGTGCAGGAGCAACAGCGAGAGCCACTTAGATACCATCTGATTATAATGTGTTTCTCAGAGAAATAAAGAGCCCAAATGGAAATACACTTCTGGTTGTCAATTTTTACAAACGCCCTGGAACTCAATGACAGTTCTCCAGGATCGATATGGTCTGGTGACAGTGAATTGATTGTTCCAGCAGAGATCTTTAATGAGATTGTTCACACTATTCGGGCACCACCATCTCCAGCAGATTACAATGACAATGGCGGGGCCTTGCGAATATAGAAAGCAAAGCAACCTTCCTGCTCATTTCTTTTTGAAAGCACTAACCCCTAGCAGCAAGGCCTTCTTGTTAATTAGTTGTTAATTATTGGGACAACTCGTGAAATGTTTGTTAAAGAGCTGGTCCAAGTGGCAAAGAAAAGAACCCACAGCAAGAGACTGAATGGAAGGGTAATAAAAGGAACGAATACGCTTTTACACAGTTCACTGGCACCAAGGAAATTCTAGCAACTTACTCCTCTGGTGCAAGAGGAGAGGTACTGTAGAAATGCATAGCAAACAAACTAGAATGGATGAAAACATAATAGACATGTAGAGCTAGAAGGAACCTCTATAATCATCTTCCCTTATTTTACAGATTGGGAAACCCAGGTAACAGTGCATGGATGAATTGCCTAAGGTTCCGCTCCTAGTTGGTGTCCTGCGAATCAGTGCAGCCCCGAGAACTCATCACTACCAGGCCCAGTTGAAGGTGAGTGGTGGGGCATTTGATTTGGACCTCCCATTACAAAGGGGTTCTATTCTAGTGTTTTTTTCTTTATCCTCAAATGACAAGTATGGTCTATGATGTATACGGTTAAAGCAACACACCGACAAGCTATGACATACATGATCAAAGCAATAAACCAACAGATTTAGATTGTCTTTCATGTAACTTTTAACCTGTATCCCACGACTGTATAACCAGACCACACCACCTTTGAAGCTTTATAAATAAATACTTTAAAAATAAATTCCATTATTGTGTGAACAATTATATTGTGTCGTTTACTTATTCTTTTTTTTTTCTATGAAAAGTTCATTTGTTACATGTATATCTACAATATACCATAGTTTTTCTTATCTTGTTTTGGCATTTAAATTTTTTCTATCTTCTCTTTACTTTTTAAAAAATATTCTAAAATCTACAAAAATAGAAGCAGCCCAGGCTTCTCGAACCTCTCAGGGCTCTCGTTCACTGCTCTATGTGTTCTTATTGTAGCATGTCTCTTTCATAAGGGATTTAAGTTGACACAGTCAGGTTGTAGCTTTCATGATGTTACACTAACATTATCTTACAACTTTTGGTTTTTATAAAGGGTGATTATCTTTTTTTTTTAAGTAGGAGATTCTGTGTTGCACATCTGGAAGGCTGTCATAGGAACCCAGAACTTTGCTATCCATCTCCTGTCAGGTGTAGACAACCTGGACACCAGTCCCGGTAAATTCTTAGGGAAGAGCAGTTAATATTTTCATTCTCTACACTAGCCATGCCGATTTGTTTGGGTAGCTCTGTAATATGCCTTCAAGTTCATTCTTATGCACAATCATCTTTTAACTTAATATAGTTACTTAATGCAATTGACTTAGTTTAGTTAACTTAATATAGTTTAATATAGTTAATTTAATATAGTTTACCTGCAATATAGCAGGTAAAACAATCAGAGTAGGGGTAAAGTAAGAATATTATTAAAAACATTTTTATTCCCCCTTGAAGAGTTGCTGTAAAATGTTGTCTTTTCATTCCTACTTTCTGCTTTCAGAAGTGATTTGGAAAGTATTGCGGGATGATGCCACTTTTGTAATGAAACTACGTAGGTTATATGCAATCTATGATAATTGAAGATTCTATTCCTTAGGAAACCCTTCAGTCCCTTACACTGGCCCTGTTACGTGGTGCCAGGCGTGCAGCCTTACCTGACGCACCTAGGACTTCTGTCTCATTCTTCTCCCAAGTTACACTGTGTAGTCTCAATGGTTCTCAAACTTTAGCCTGCATGAGATCACCTGGCAAACTGGTGTAAAATGCAGAACCCAGCCTCTCTCACAGAGATTCTGATTCATTAGATGTGGGGCAGGGCCAAGGAATCTGCATTTTTAAGAAACACTGCATTTCAGTGTTAGGTATTTTAGAAGCACCCTTGAGAAACTCTGATCTGCCCACATTTTCTTACCAGTCCCTTGACACGGATGCATGCTTTTGTATCCATCCAAGGGACCTGGTAAGAAGCCTCTGAATTATAGGCTTTATCTGTTTATTTGGGTGACTCACTCCGGGGATCCCTGGGTAGATGCCCCTCCTCACTCAACCTGACTCCCAGGACCTTCCTCCACTCCCTTTGCCTCTGGCAGGGAGAACAAAAGGAGCCTGGAGAAGGGCAGACCCCCAGCAGAATAATGCCTACCAGTGGGACCTTCCTTCTAGGCTCACTGCATTACCTGTGAATATATTTTTAGAATAGTTTTAGAAAAAACTCAGGCCATTTGGGGTCAGTTCTGGTGATTCTGGTTTATGATCAAGTGGGAGAATTACTATTCAAGATCAAGCTACATATAACTAGAACACACATCACAGCTGGCATTCTGGCTTGGGTCATAAATGCATCCATGGCATCAGATGCAGCGTTTCAAAAATACTCTCTGTAACGATGGTGGATATCACAGCCAGGCTGCCCTGAATGAACTTACAGGTTGCTTACAACTTGCTCTTGTTCTAATGGGTTGGGCAGCCATTTTTACTGACTGTCTCGTTGATTCATTGGTACTCTGCTATGCCAGTTGTCAAATACTTGTACTACTGGAATTAATATATAATTTTTCTTCTGAAGGACAAAACTCCTGTGAATATCTCATTTGAGAATGTTTCTTAAAAATCTAATCTCGTGAACTAATAGTCAATCTTTGCAAATGACGTAAGTCATATGGCTCACATTCTAAGTGAAAATCTACTTTAAGCCAGGTTAATATTGGTCCTACATTTATTCCATGTATTAGCTTATATAAGCTTGAAATCTCCATGTTGTGTGTCTACTGCTGCAAGCATTCACTTCCAAAGTCTGCATAAGGTTGGAAATTTAATACTCCCGATACTCCAGCAAAAAGATGCCTTTAACTTTCTTGGCCATATCTTTAGCTTGGTTTCCTACAGATGGCACTCTGCTGATTCATTTCCTGATGGTGCTCTCAAGTTGATTGTTTTATTCTTTCGAAGAATGTTATAAATTGCAGTTTGCTTAGAGTTGAATGATGATGGGGTGGGCTGGGGTTTACAGTTGAGAAGCACCACTTTAGCTTATAATAGGAAGCATGTAATTTCAATTCATGAAATAGGCTGGAGAAGTATTTATAAATAATTATATGTCTGGATGTGTTTGTATATATAGTTACATTTATTTTTAAGCATACATAGAACTTAAATTAAATATAAAAATATTCATACATATAGTAATGCAAAAACCACTATACCATTTAAAAATTTTTAACTTAAGTTCCAATTCTGGGGGTAAAAGGAGTGGTCAATTCTCAGTTATCACCACACCTGACTTATTAGTAGAACACTAGATACAACTGATGAATCCTTCCTTCATTTTGCTGTCAGACATTACTTGCAGTTGGCCTTCCTTCTGCCTCTGGGACTACACCATCTGTTAGTCACCATTGCTTGTTCCTTCTCTTTTGACCAACCTCTGAGCATCAGAGTGATGAGGATTTAATCTTTGGACCTTATATGGAGTTATACTCACTTCCTAAAATTTCAGACTTGTGTATCCAGTTACCTAGTTAACTTTCCATTTGGACGTCTAACAAACATCTCCTGCTGAGTGTGTCCAAGGCAGAACTCTTAATTTATAACCCCTCATCCCAACCTCACCACTCCTGTTGTTTTTCCCATCATGATAAAAGGCAATTTCTTTGCTCTCCTTGCTTAGGCCAAATCCTCAAAGTCATATTTGACTGTTCTTCTTTTCTCATACTCCATATTCAATCTGCCAGCAAATCCCATTGGCTCTTCCTTTGAAATATAATCTGCCAACCTCACCACCTCCTTCACTTGCTGGTCCAAGGCTCTGTAATCTCTCTACTATATTATTGCCATGGCCTAATTACTGGACTTTCTATCTCTTGTCTCTCTTAGACTTTTCTCAGCACAACCACCACAGTGATCCTCTTAAATTTTAAGCCCAAACAAGTCAGGTTTTTGCACAAAACCCTCCAATGGTTTCTCAAATCATTCAGCACAAAAACCAGAGTCCCTCTAATTACTTATAAAATGCTCCCCCAATCTACCATCCCTGACCTCATCACTAATACTCTTACACTTAGTCATCTGCTTTAGCCCTACAATTTCCTCTGCTGTTCCTCAAACATCCCAAAGATTTTGTCACCTGAAGGTCTTTGCATGTTCTGCCTCCTTGTCCTGGAAAGCTTTTCCCCAAATACCATTTTTTCTCTGCCTTCAGATTTTTGATCAAATGTCACCTTGTTCCCAAAGTTTTCTCTGACCATGCTATTTAAAGTACAATGCTCTACTCCACCCCTTGCAATCTCAGTGCCTCTGTCCTGCTTTAGTTTTCCTTTGAAGCCATTATCAACTGACATAGAGTTTGCTAATATATTTTGTCATTTTCTGTCTCCTCACATTAGGAACTAGGGTTCATGAGAGTAGAGGTTTTGTAGGCTTTGGAAATTAGTATTTCTTTAGCAACAAGAAC